CACACACACACACACACACACACATCGCCAATTGCGCTATCTCCACGGACATGGCGGCGGCGCACCATGAACATCCACATGATGGGCCACGTGTCCGATCAAGGCAGCCCTGACCCCCGGGCCAAGGTYGGAGCCGTAAGTCGGATCAATCTCCGGCACGGCTTCGATGTTCGGATCAGGAAGGTGACGTGGAAATCCGCGGTTGCGGCGCCGGCGTCGGCGGGGGTTGCATGGCTGCCCGTCACCCTCGCMGTCGCTACGGTGKTTCAACAACTCCGGGTCGATCTCCACCCTGTGCTCAATCATGAGGTTGTGTAGTATGCACACAGCCATGAATTCCTTGCGCAACGTCTCCAAATTCGCGATGTGAGTGCGGATGAAATTCCTCCACACGGTCTTCAAAAGTCCGAATGTCTGCTTTAAACTCGATCTCACCGCCGAGTGACATCCGTCGTAAGTGCRATCTGCATYAGTTCTGGCGAATCTTCCCATAGGTGTCATRATCCMSGGGACAATTGGGTAACCGGCATCTCCAAGCARGTAACGACCCACGTGTGTCCCGTCATGCAGGATAGCTCCACCTTCGCATAACACACCTCTGCCTGCCATGGTGTTGTGGTGCAGCGGTGACATATGCAACACACGAGAGTCATGCACGAAACCARGGCAACCGACATACACGCTGACAATTCTTCACTCGCTATCACACACCACCTGGGCGACGACAGAGAAGTCTCCAGTGTGATGATAGTAGCACTCTGACCACGTGCCCTTCGGCTTGTCAATGTACACGTGTGTGCAGTCGATGGCYCCCACACATCCGGGRAACCCCTTCGCCTCGAAAGCATTCTGGACCTCTTCCAAACGCCTTCCTGTGGGGAATTGGAGCAGGTGTCCGTACTCGTGGAGGATAGCATCTGCGACGTCCTCGTTGCTTCTCAGCGCACTGGCAAGGCCCATACCCAAACWGTGGGACGATTGCCGGTAGTACCCTCCCGTCGCCCATCGGATCAGTGCGCAAGCGAACTTTTGTYCGGCCGGTAGAGGCAACCGGAAGTTGGTAGGTGAGCGCTGGATATGGGGGGTGATGTGCTGGAGAACTTGCAAAAACAGAGGTCTTGGTAATCTGCAGAACCGCACGAACACCTTGTCGTGCTCCRCACCCACTCTTTGCAGGTCCTTCCACAGACCTCCGCTGCGCTCCAGCATCCACACCCGCCTTCTCCGACAGTTTATGTGTCTTCCCAACTCGTGTGTTGCGAAGAAGCTCAAGGCCATGYCGTGAACCACCCCGCCTGCAAGCATCGTCAGCGCCCCCGACACATCTCGGAACATGAACGGGGTGATGGCGACTGCTTCAAGAATGGCCATGGCCGCAGCATTGCGCCTATTCACCCACTGGGTCATGAGGAGAACGAGCATGAACATCATGTCCTCCCACTTCTCATCCGCAG